CAAAATAAAAATAGTTTGTACAACCAACGGAGTTTATAAACCATTTTTGGAGCATTCTGGATGAAAGCTACTTGATAGAATTTTCAGCAGCATCTCAATGATTTAGGAGCACAAGTCCCACTCTAAAAATCGTTATTGCCATTGTTTTAAAGAAATAATTGTTTTGTGTTCCTTTACCATCCTTAAAAGGTCACTTCCATTTGGGATGTTTATCACATATGATAAAAACCCTGCAGCTTCACACATTAAGGCTTTAGCAGTGATTCCTTGGCCCACTCTATACTGCTTTATTATTTCAAGACTATAGGAACGGGGTGGTTTTAAACACCATATGTGAAATACCTACCCACCAGGGCGCAAGTCGCACCCTTACCTCTGGATTTCCACCAGTGTTTTGTATTTAACTGATTAATGAATTTGAATCCCTAAAGCAATTATTTGTTTCATGAAGATTTCAAAATCCTTAGGTAAAAATCCACCTGGAATTTTTTTTTACCCAAAGGAAGTAAAGGGATAGATGATTATATCTAGGTAAAAACTACAAATAGTGTTTGCAGGCACTCATCTTATTGTATGTAGCTCTAAGGTTTGGCATGTGTCTTCCTTAGGTTTTAACGAATACTCTTCTGATTTAGGTTTGCACCAATTTTGGGGGAATGGTAGTTCCTGAAATGAATGACCTTACTTCCCTGAGAACAACGTTACTTGGGTATAAATAGAGATATTTCATATATAACGTCTCACTAATTCAAAACCACATAACTTAGGTGACCAATAACATACTGCTAGTAATGACCAATGTATAAAGTATTTATTTTATTTATTTGCTTTGATTTATGTATAAAACAAGCCCCTATCCTTGGCTTTATAATCATCCAGATAATTATTTCAAACAGCAGTCCATATCCAGCAATATTGCAAAACCCAACCTCTTGCACACAGAATTAGCCAGCCAATAATTCAAACAAAAATACCCTCAAGGCCCCAGGAAATTAGGTTTTGCATTAGGCCCTGAAATTCAAGAGATTCAGGCTACTCTGAATCAACAGGATAGCCACTTGCAAAGTCAAGGAGCTGTTACAAGGAATGTCCTATGGGAGCTCCCTCCCATCTAGCTCAAGTGCTTCCACAGATCACACCTGAGTAAATAACACAAGAAGATGGAGGCTCCAAGCTTCTGTCTCTGAGTGGAGAAGGTGTGGCCTGCATCAAGTGTATTTCAGTGATAAAAGCACAGATGGGTTCATCTGGAAGGAAAGCCTTATGGCTGAGTGCATCTGGAAAAGGGCGGTTTTGCTCACCGCTGTATCATCAACTAAAACCAACAGGGAATCTAGCACCATCTCTACACTAAGAACTTGGGTAGCAAAATGACCATCTCTGTCAAAGTGGTCAATATAATCTCTGCCATGTCTTCCGGTTGCTTTCCCCATTTTGGCTTCAGTTTTGTCTGGATTGAGCCAAATAATCTTCAGCCATGTCCCAGTCTTAACCAGGCTCTGGAAAAGGCACTCTATGGCATTGTGTGGGTCAGATTAGGATAGAAACATACAGCTGGATGTGAATAAAAAAGATAATGAGACAGGCTGGGAAACATCATCAAAATAAGCAGTCCTTAGGCTAAAATATTTGCAGTTGCACAAAGTCTAGTCTCAAATAATTCATGAAAAGGAAAAAAGAATATGTTTTATGGGTAAATTATTTGGAACAAATAATTCAGACAGCAATATAAATGACATCATGTGGTTATTAGGATGATAGGGCCCTGGAATGAAAGTCAGGTGATCTTGGTTCTATTCCCATCTCTGACAATGACATGTTAGATGACCATGGGCAAGTCACTTCATGCCACTGTGCCTCAGTTTCCTCTCCCTCTCTTTATTTCTCTTGTCCCTGTAGATTGTAAGCTCTTCAGGACAGGGTCTATTTGTCTCAATCTGGGTATGGACAGTGCCTGCAACAATGGGACCCAATCGTGGTTGGGGCTTCTAGCCAAGACTGTTTTATTTCTGCTATTTCTGCCACCACTAATGCTAAATGGAATTATGTCACATAGTTTATTATGACTACTATAGCCTTGCTGAAATATTAATGCATGGGCTCTTAACCCTAAGGTAACCTATTATAAATATGTTAAAAGTACGATCTGGAGCACTGCCATGCATTTGTAACTCACAGAAGTCTGTGCTCAGCACCTTTCTGGATGAGACCTACAACATAGTCTGCATTTTCAACAGCCATTTACTTCCATTCTTTAGATTGGAATAACTCCATTCATCTCAACTGACCTCATCCATTTTATGAAGCTTGTGAGAAAAGTAAGTGTAAAGTGTGTGTTCTTGTGCCCTTTCCTTGTTCAATGTATAATTCCACAAGCCGCGTGTATAAAAGGACTTACTTGCCAGTCATAATTTTTTGAGGCTGTAATTGGCAGCCTTTTGGCAATACATGTTTTTGCAGAAGTGATTTGCTTTAATTTGGCTGTTTGTGGTGTTCTTCCCCCCCAGGTCCCTATGGCATAGCAGATTTTGGCAGGGGAAGAGGAGCGATGGAAACATTGCCATGACATAAGCAACAATCTTGAAGCTTTTTCAAAAGAAGGTAAAGTGAAAAAGAGAGAGCTGGCAGGGAGCATCCTTGTGGAGGGGAGCTGGTATGGAGATGCATTTGTTTGCTGATAGCTTGTATCTCCGAGTTGCTGATTAGGTTACAGAGACAGCAGCAGAAAGCTTTTGGGGGTTTGATGAGCATAGTAAGAGGGTGGTTGTTCCTATTTGTCACCCCTCAGGGACGGAAAAATTCAGAGGAACGGCTCCGTAAGCGCCATTGAGCAGGTGCATGCTGCTAGAACAATGGCTGGCACCGAGTTTTGCCGCAGGAAACCTGCTTTGGCATTTCAGCTTCCCACTTGCAGTTGCTGTTGCTGGAGGGGGAGAGATGAGAGAAATGGGCTATAACAGCAGAAGAGCTGATTTAAAAAAAATCCCGGGGTATTACCGGTATTAAACATGCTTAGCATTTTGGCTTGGAGGTAATAAAGTGACATGCAAGGGAGAAAGGAGAAAAGCAAAATGAATAAAAATACGGTGGTTGCCCATTTCTCTTTCATATATATAAAGTGTGTATGTGTGTGTGTGTGTGTGTGTGTGTGTACACACATGTACCATTAAAATAAGACAGCAAGGATTCTTAATCATTTTAGTTACTCAAGAGCTGTGTCGAATTATTTATCTCTAAAATATCATTTATTAGGATTCAACATTCAGGGCCAGACTGGCAGGATCAAGCAGCCTAAAGGAAAATCTTCTATGTAGCCAATGTAATACAAAGGAATTTGCCAGGAGAAGGGAGAAAGTCCTTTTGTAATAGGCCTTGGGGCTTCTTTGGGAAAACCACTTGAAAATAGTGTAGAAACCCTTTGATGCAACATGGTTCATTCCATCTATGTGCTGTTTGCATTTCACTGCTTGTGCTGTGGGCTGATCCAAAGCTCATGGAAGTAAATGGAAAGACTCCTATTGATTTCGGTGGGATTTGGATCAGGCTGGTGGTGGTGGGAACATGGGGGAGGAGGCCTGGGAGGAAAGTACCAGGCTGCGTGTACTACAGAAGGTAGACTGGTCCTGTGGCCCAAGGGTGAACAAAGGTCTGGCTGCTTAGTGATCCAGTAAAGGTCTGTTATTGAGTCAGTGTTTGTTCATCACTTTGTGCTAAGCATTAGTTAGTAATACCAATGACCATCGTTTGATTGATACATATGTTTTTAAATACATGGGAACCCTTAACACATGGTGTCAAGTATATTTTCCACCACATGTGTTTGACGAAGTGGGTATTCACCCACAAAAGCTTATGCTCCAAGTCTGTTAGTCTATAAGGACTCTTTGTCGCTTAACACATGGATACTCCTGAGTCTACAGAGTTGGAATTCTAGATTCTAATAATAATATAATATCTGGAGATATACCTATCTCATAGAGCTGGAAGGGACCCTGAAAGGTCATTGAGTCCAGCCCCCTGCCTTCACTAGCAGGACCAATTTTGCCCCAGATCCCTAAGTGGCCCCCTCAAGGATTGAGCTCACAACGCTGAGTTTAGCAGGCCAATGCTCAAACCATTGAGCTATCCCTCCCCCCTATAAAGACACTACTGAAGGGTAGTATGGTCTTGATAACTAACTGATGAACAATGAAATTGTTCCAATACAATACTACTTTTGTAATCAAACAGTGGAGCCAGCTTTCCGAAATTGCTTGACCCATTCAGTTTAATAGATTATTTGCATCTCCTTTCCGGCTAACGTTAGCTCTGGATATTATGTCGGTCTTTTAACTCAAAGGTGAGCTTCCTGGGCCTTAGCCTATAATTGTACAGGACCCTTGAAGGTCCCAGTTCGGCAAACATTTACTCATGTTGAAGTTCATGCACATAAGTTGTGAGTATTTCCATTGGCTGCAGTGGGCTGCTCATGTGCATAAAGTTATGTTTGTGTGTCACTATTGTTGCTGTAGTTTCCTTTTTCCTACCGGTGCAAGCTATTAAAGGTCCATTGCTGCTCCCCCTTACCAGAGTGGGGGTTTATTTACTAACATTAATGGCAACAGGATTGACCCCAATCCGTTAAGTCATTTCTGTGTTAAGTGGTTGTGGTGAGTGAGCAAGTGTTAACAGGAAATGTCCGTGTGCGTAGTAAGACTGTCACTGGGAAACAGGCAGTAAGAGTAATGTGGTCCCAAAGAATTAAAAGAGAATCAAGAACATTTGCATTCTTTGTCATGTGATAGCCTCTGTCTTCTGTGTACCTTCAGTGACACAAAGATATTTACTCATTGCAAAATCTTTTTTTTTTTCCAGATTGGATTTGCTGTATCCCAATTTAATCCAAAATATATTCAGTGGGAGAAGCTGCTACATGTTTCAACAGTGTAGTACATCAATTCATCTTTCATAAGGTGGGTTGTTAAACAAAGTATTAATTAAAATGCATGTTGGAAACTTAATGCTCTTAGTGTGGAACCTTTTATTTCAGTGGTACAGGACTGAGGTTGGAAAATATTGAACCAACTGTAGGTCTGTAAAGAGTGGAGTACTTCCTGCAAAACCTAAAATCCCCAAGACCAACGATGTGTGGTTGTCAAAAGTAGTCATTGTCAACCTGTGGAAAGCGTGGCCAAGGGATGTTGTGAAAGCCAAAATTATAACTGGGTTCATAAAAGAACTGGATAAATTCATGGAGGATAGGTCCATCAATGGCTATTCACCAAGATGGTCAGGGACACAACCCCATGCTCTGGGTGTCCCTAAACTTCTGCCTGTCAAAAGCTGTGACTGGCCGACGGAGGATAGATCACTCAATAATGGCCGTGTTCTGTTCATTCCCTCTGAAGCGTCTGGCACTGGTCACTGTCAGAAAACAGGATACTGGGCTAGATGGACCATTGGTCTGACCCAGTCTGGCCGTTCTTAGGTTAATATGAATTTCAGTTACACGTGGCCTGTAAAATAGAGAAATAGCAAAATGTAAGCAATGATATCCAAGGACAATTTAATGTATTATGCACCCTGTGTGCCTCCTGAAAAAATCCAGGTGAGTCTAGGGATTAGAGACTGAGTTTGCTTCTCTATTTTGATTTCAATTTTAAATCGTCACTTGCAGAGTTCTTAGGGCTTCAGCCAACACTGACTGACGCCAACGGAAAGAGTCCCTTTGATTTCAGTGCTCTTTGGACCATGGCCTAGGTGAGCTATCAATTTTGTTTTTGCTAAATCTGCACTGAAGCCATGCTGCAGACATATGCATGTATTCTAATGCGCTCTGCTACAGGCACTATCCTATAAATGGGCTTTAGGGAACTATAAATACTAAGCAGGCTACATATACTCACTTTACTATGTTATGACAAATTTCTTTTTTAAAATGTGATGGTGATCTTATGTCTTGGTCCTGACATGAAGTGTGTTTTAAGAGTTTCTGATGAAAATTATGTTAAGACTGTTTTCCAGTAACCTAACGAAAAGCCACATCAGGATAGAATAGCATTGCTATGGTAACTTTGTTTAAAAGTGATTGTTAATAAAGGAGAGATAATTGGAATTCAGAGTGGCGGTAATTGCAAAAGCACAGAAAAGGTTAGACTGGTATTTTTATAACACTAATCAAAATTTGATGTGAACTTTCATGTGATGTTCAGTACATATCCACTTAAAGGATTCCATCTGAGCAAAAATCAAATATAACAAGACATTTAGATTGAATAGGACTCAAACTGCTGTTTTGAATCCCTAGCATAATGACCCTGGAAAGAGTTTAGTTTACCTTAGCACTGGATAGTTTTCTCTCTTGACTGTATTTGGAGAACAGAGAATTGACTTTTTAAATGGTTGCTACAGTTTCTTAAATTCAACAATAGGTAACTGGCTTAAATGAAATTATTTTCTATATTCAGGGAGATAATTAAAAAAGCTGCACATGCTGCTTGTATCCCCCATGTTCTGTTTTTAATTTCCTTGTTCTTTATCATGATGGCCGATATCATTTGTATGTAATGAGACTCTCTTCTTTTCACTTCAGTTCATCAGCTCTAGCCGCTTATTTTGCCCTAAATCCTCTGATCACAAACTCCCCACTGGGAAGAGAAGTTACACAACTGGCTAAGTGCAAAAAGAGGATTTTCCTCCCTGCTTTCCTGCCCCCCCAAAAAACCTCAAAACCCAACAACCACCATTTTTGCCCTTGATGGTGATTAATGGTCATGTCAGACATTTTTTGCTCACCCCAAAATTATATTTCTTTATTTTATACTTGAATAGATGTGGTTAAAACCTGGAAAAATTCAATTACTTTTTCTGTTTTAATCAATGTTTTACCACAGGGGAGACGGGTGTTTTTTGCATCAAAATTTTAGCAAACGTTCTTGTAAAACAACAACAACAACAACAAAAATTGGAAACCGTGAACCAGCTCAGCAAAGAAATGTATACCATTTACATTGATAATTAGAAATTAGGAAACCACCCCTTCCTCCTGTGGATGTCACTCCTGACCATTTGAGACACTTGGACTGGACACTGAGGGTTGATTTACCCCTTGATTTAGTAGGGTTAAATTTACTCTCAGGAAACAATGCAACTGGGCCAAAGATCCTCATCTGGTGTGAATCACTACAGCTCTATTGGCTTGAGGATTTGGCCCTCTCATTTTATTCCATCTGTTGTTTAAAGAAACAAAACAAGAATGACGACAACCAACAAGGGAAGAGAAATCCAGAAAATATTGTTTTATTGTGAAATGTATTTTAGGTTTCACTGGAGGCACCAGAAGTTCTTTACCAACCTCTCTCTCCATCCCACCCTATCCTGAAATGCATCCTGGCTCTAGCAGTTTGGTATCATTTTGTCGTTGTTAGTGAGTTCTTTTTATTCCCCTTTCTGGGGTGTACTTCATAGGGAATCACCTTTTGCAAACAAGGATGCTATAATGCAAAGTAGGCACAATGCCATTTGGCAGCCGGACCTATAGAGGCCTTTTGTTTGGTTCTGTCCCCTTATTTAGCTATGTAGTCTGTCTATATGAACACCAAGATCTAAATGCTAATTATTACTTTTGTAAATAGTGCAATTGGATGGTAGACGACTACAAATGTGGCTCACTTTACAATTTAATGTGTCTTTGGTTGAAGCTTTAAGGTGGTCAGACTGAGTTTCGGAATATCAGCAGAAACTGCTTCATCCTCAAGTGCTCAATTCACTGTGACAAAAGCATTCTTTACTGGGACCCAAGGGACCCAAAATCGGATTTGAATAACCTCACATTCGGATGGCTACTAGACCACAGAGGACTAGTGTACAAGCACTGTGGGCCATATTCTTACCCTCCTGGGTTAATACTTTTGGCTTTGGTGGAATTACACTAGAGATAAATGTGGCCCTGTATATTTAATGGGTCTTGTTTACTCTGGCTGAAAGTCCGGGGTGACTGAATATGAAAGGAGGTAGAGTGAATGCAATGGATAAAAGTCACCCAATTTAAAAAAAAAACCCTGCTGGGGTTACAGAAATGTGGTTTTTCTAAAAATTAAAATAAATTAAAAATAACATTTATTCACCAAACATTGATGATGTAGCTGCTAGTTATGAGAGATCAGGTCTGAGGGAGTCAATTAAATTCACTTCAGCTTTCCTGTGAAGTCAAATTTTAAACTACAGCTTAAAGCATGTTATGAAAGCTGGCAGTTTCAGACCTCACATTTCTGGAACTAAATTGGGTAAAAATATTAATCCACAAACACATCTGTCTGATTCACAAGTTCCAATGATATCAAGATTTCAAAATGAGCACATCACAGGCTCCCGCTTTGTTGCCAGATTTCTGACACTGGCAGAGCTCTGAAGAAGCTGTGAGCTAGAAAATCAGAGTGGTTGTTGGCATTCAAAAGAGCACATCAAACTTGTGATGTACCATTTTACCTTGTGCACCCAGAATTCTCCAGTAAATCACAAATATTTCTTAGCAGCGCTGATGTCCTTGCTCCATGAACAAATACACACTTTTTAGAGTCTGTTCAGCATACTTGGCTACAAAAACTGATGAATGCTTCCTCTGATTTTGGACTGGTCTTTTGGGGGTGATGTGTTTCTTGCTGTCTGCTGATTTCATTTAGTATCTATTTATTTATATAGTGTCACGGTAAGTGCACATGATACTTAGAACTGGATTATAAGCGTTTGAGGCAGAGACCTCAGGTGAGGTTTTCAAAAGCATCTAAATGACTCAAGCGTCCAAGACCTATTCAAATTCAAAGGGTTGTGTGTTCCTTAAGTGACTTACATGCTTTAGAAAATGCCACACCTCTTCTTCTGTCTTTTCTGGACAAATATGATGTATGAGACAGTGGTATGGTTCTGAGATGGCATTGAGTCCGCATAGGAAAGCGTAATTAGAGAAGTGGGCCTGGAAGAAGGAAGAGAAAGGCATTTGGTGTATGGGAAAAGGGACTCTTTTTTCCAAATGTCCAGGGTGGCATGAAAGAAAGTGTGACTTTAAGAGTGGGGAATGGTTAGGAAGGAGGAATGAAAGATTAAATGAGTAGAGATGGACATGGCTGTTGATTGACAGTGCGTCTTAAAAGTGAGGATTAGGAGCTCAAACGTCATGGCGAATGATATGAAAGGAAATCATTTGAAGCTTGACTCTCTATACTATGGCCAATGCTGCAGTGGCCAGTTTTAAAAGAAAACAAGCTACATATTGAAGCTTTGTGTCCCTGCTGGAACCAAAATCCCAGATCTATTACTTAGATTGGAAGCTCTTTGGGGCAGGAACTGTCTTTTTGTTCTGTTTGTGCAGCACTTAGCACAATGGGGTCCTGATCCATGAACAGAGCTCCTAAGTGCTATGATAATACCAATAAACCATAATAAAATATCAGATTTTGCATGAACCTATCTCCAGACTGAAGGAAAAACCAAATACTCTGGACTCTGTGAAAATATGGGCTCACGTCTGCATTTTGAGCTACCAGCATTTGGGAATAAAGGGATGCATGGAGTGAAATTCTGACCTTAGTAAGTCCTTGGAAGTTTTTCCATTGACTGAAGTGGGGACCAGGATTCTATGCAAGGTTTTATTTCTGTCAGTCAGTGAGGCTGACATCCAGATGTGGGGGTTTGGTTCAGTTTCATCCCTAATGTGAAGAATTTCAGAGAGAATGTTTCAACTACTTGCTGCCCAGTAATGAAAGCAAGTTGCCATGTCATAACACCATCTGATTTTATATCTAGGACAGTTCTAGGTATAGCATTCAGGGCTTATACAGGGATGCATGATTTCTATGTACAGGCTACTACCAAATTTAAAGCAAATAGAGATTCTGAAATATGGAAACTGAGACCTTGTCCAGCCCATAGTAAGAAATATGCTGTTTTTACAGCATGTCACTGTACCTATTTACTAAGCACTTAGGCCAAATTTTCTAACTTGGTTGCCTAAAGGTAGGCACCAAAATCCATATTTAGGAACCTAAATAAATGGACTCATTTTCAAAGGTGCTGCATCTTCCATTTACATTCAGTGGCAAAATCAGGTGTCAATACCTCTAAAAATATAAATGTTAGATGGGCACTCCAGGTTGAAAATGTTGGTGTTGGTCTTTGACCCCCTACAGTAGAAGAAGATCCTATATTTACAAAATGAGAAGTTTTATTTGTCAGATTATTAAATCTATATGGTTTATATTGAGAGAGTTAATAACTGGTAAGGTGGGGCATATTAAAATTGGACAAAAGAACCCAGGAGTTCAGCTATGCTGGGAAAAGCTGCCCAATCTTTCTAAATCAACGCGTGGAACTCATTGCCAGGGGAGGTTGTGAAGGCTAAAAGTATACCCGGGCTCAAAAAAGAGTTAGATAAGTTCCTGAAGATAGGTCTTTCAATGGCTATTAGTCAAGATGGTCAAGGATGCAACCACATGCAAATGTAAGATAAAAGGAGAATATA